GGGAAAAATCGAAAAACGGGAATAACTTTTGAAGGAAGCAAACTCCGCACGAATCCTCTTAGGCTTTTTCATACCTCCATATGATCTATCGATCGGCATATGAACGAAGGAAATCAGAAGGGATCATTCGAGAACGTTCCCCCGTAAGCGTGAAAATTTTTCTTCGCATGTTTGCAAGTTTATGCCAAGGAATAAATTATTGTGTATTGGATCATCAGCATTTGTCAAATGTTTACACCTTGGTCGGGTATGGTTCCTTTGATTGAATCGGTCCACAACAATGTGCATTTTGAATAAAAATGTGGAAAATTCAGTTTCTTTAAAATGATCAGATTTGTACCAGTTTTGCATCCAAAGAGGCATCGACCAAGCATTGTCATAAATCATACCATGTGGAATGTTGCTGATACCAGTTATTTTGAAGAACGATAACATTGTATTGTGCTACTCGTCGTACTGATTCTGTTGCAACTGATTCGCCAAACCCGCACACTATTCCATAATTGGTAAAAATACACGTGACACCATAAGTTCCATTTTTTCTCTCGTTAAATGAATCTGTGAAAACGTTGCATAATTGAGAATATTGTTCATCTGTTTTGAGATTAAAATATTCTTTCAAAGATGTAGCAATTACTTCTTTTGAGTAAAACTGATTATGCGTTTAGATTTGTTGTTTTTTCTCATCCTTTTTTTTTTCTCATCCAACTTTCAAGGCATCCATTTCATCATTTTTCAATGTACACACATTTTTTCCCCACATACAATTCTGGACGACTTTTGATCACCGTCGACAAGAAAACATCGAGTGCATTCTGGACCACATTGTGCTGCTGTCGATAACGGTTTATGATAGGTCCACAGTGTAATAAACAATGCATATAAAAATGGATAATATTCCAGATAATATTTATCTCATCTGACTTTGTTGGTCACGGTCTCGATGATATCAAACTTGTCTAATCTGGTTGTGTGAAAAGTAAATTCTGCTATATTATACTGTATCCACGTTGTCTAAAAGAGTTTTGAATCGAGGCGAGGAACTTTCCGACGCTTCTTTGGCTTTTTTGTAACTCCGATATAGTAGCTTAGACATAGACATGGCGCACAGCAATAACAGATAAGAGACTTAAACTATGGACAGTTTTACTTGAGAATTCGTTCTACTCACTCACAAAAGAAAATTTTTTTATTTTAGTTGTACGTGTATTTTGATCCGTTGGGTTTTTATTCAATGACAAATTTAAAAAGAACGACTGTTAAATAAATCATCATTTATCAGAACAAGATTGAAAATACTCAACAACAATTCTCACAAGGGTCTTCAGCTCTAAACAAAAAATCACGGATTGTTTTGTCGAATGAAAAAATAAAGATTTCATTGACACCAATGAACTATTTTCTAAAATCAGTTGGAAAAGATTTATTTAGAAATAACAAAACAAAATCAAACACGTTGGAAGCGGAAATGAAAAGTTATCGAACACCGGCAGTGAGGACCGCACCGGAAACTATCAGATAATAAAACAGACAAAAATTCTTTATTATTTTGGGGAAAAAATGTCTTAACAATGCCACGTGTGGCGAAAATGCCAAAATTATATTTGGCTACATCCGGAACAAGTGTGAGTTCAGAATCGGCCTTCAGTCTATCTCCCTATTACGGAAAAAAGAACGTTGTCGACTTCAATCAGAACCATTGGCATTGTTCTCAAAAGATAAACTTCAAAAACAAGAAGACAACGAATTAAACAGCTTTCACCTTTTCTTGCTATACTCGCTATATGTTTTCATATTGTATTTGTTTTAGTAGAGATATACGAGGGGCATCAGTTGATTTTGGCTCTCCTTAAGAAAGCTTGAGAATTTTAGAAAGCAAATAATGAGATTCACATTGAAGAGCCGATAAACAATGAAAATTAGTTTTTCTCTTGGTAGAAAGAGTAGTATACTGTCATGTGATGCGACAATACAAATCCGGAAGACATAAACAGACTATGACTGCGTAATAAAATGTGGCTGCTGCTCTCTGGACTAAGCTGACGTTGCGAGTGACTTCTGTCTTATTCTAGCTCACTGTAATCTGTATCATTTGGTGAACTTTCAGCGTTAGCGTAGTTAAACTGGCTTCTGCTGCCATTGGCAGTAGTCGTAGAATTGATGGTGGAGGTGGCGACAGGAGGGCGACTGTAATGATTGTGTACATTGAGATGAGCACTTTCAAATTGGAGGTCTTCATCTTCTTCATCTAGTTGATTAGCATCCACATATATGTGTTGTTGTACTTTAGGATTAGATTTATCTTGTTCCAAAGATTCATCTTCAAAAAGTCCATATTCCAAATCTTCACGATCGTGTTCTCTAAGAACTTTTAGTAATAGTTCGCATGCTGATATCTTATCTGTCGATAAGAATAATTGATGTTCAGTTTCGTTCGCAAACCTAGCATTCTCAACATGACTATCGCTGAACTTCTCATTTGTGTCTCTATGATCTGTTATTGTTGTTGTTGTTCGCAGTGGTAATCGTCGACTCAGGTTGTTAACTTCTTTCTGGTGTTCTTGTGCCATTTTAGTTCTTACTTTACGTTTTCGTTCACTGAGTTCTTCTTGTTTGACTGGTGTTGTTGTGAGCGCTGTACGAGCAGTAGTCGCGTCCGATGTTGGATTATTAGCTATCTGACGTACTGCAATTTTAATTAAATCTAATGCGTCGTGCAAATCATTAGTTTCTTTCCAACTATCATCAATTTCTTTTTGGACGTCATCAAGTTGCAAATTTGACATTTCAATGATCTGAGCATCAGACATCAGTAGAATTCGATCACGTAAGGACAGTTTTGACGTTGGTTTGAGTGTATGAAATTCATCCAGCTTCATACAAACGTGGGTATTAAATGATGTTTCTATACTATACAAAAGTTGTCCACAGACTGCCGTATAGATTTCAGTTATTGTGTTACGGCCATTTTCATAATGATTGCCAGTTTGAGGATCACGATTGTTTGTTAGATAGGATTCAGAACCGAATATTGCTTTTAAAATATCTTGTTTTGGTATTAGTCGGTAGACGTCAGCGATTGTAGCTGCGTTATATGCAAGTGCCGTCACCGTAGCTGCTGCACCTGCTGTCAGCGGTGATGGTGCTACGCTTGCTACCAAATTTGCCGTTGTTGAAACTGCGTTCATAGTTGATTTTAATGAGGATACTGACGCTGATGACGAATCGTCAGTCACTTTTGTCTTCGAAACAACGTGTAAACCTTCGATTTTCTGCTGATAAGTTTCGTGACTGATTTCAGGTGGTATCGAGAAAGTTAATTTCTTCAGCCGTAACGTCAGATCATGCGTAATGTACGATGTGTAGCAATTACGAGCTTGTTTAATGAAACAAATTGCATCTCTCATCAGTGTACGAATGATTTCATGATATTCAAAATCAACAGCATACAAAAATTTGTAATGACCTTTCAACTGACCATGTTTGTTACACAGGAGATGTTTCTTAACATTTTTAGCAAACATATCTGCGATAAATGCAAACATTTGTGTGAGCCAACAGATACCTAGGAGGAATGTTTCATTAATCAATTTAAGTACAATTTCACGTACCGCTTTAGGCAAATTTTCGTAATCACTCAGTCCACCGTAGATATGTGCTTCGGCGGTCTCAATTAAATCATCACTTGGTCGTTCTGGTTTGAACGATAGTATCATGTAAGAAAAAATTCTTCTTAGACGTTCAAAATGACGTGAACCGTTTAGTTTTGAATTCAGTGTGATCAGAAGACCGTTGTGTTCTTGATCTGTTTGCATTTTACTTCTCAGTTTCTTTTCCATCTGTTCGTAGGTTAAATGTGCACGCCAATCCAGTTGATAACGTCGTTTCCAGTTATTATTATATTCACTTTCTAACTGATGATATGTTATAGCAGACTTATCAACAGGAAATGCAGTAAATATTTCGCCTTTCTGTGCAATATATATCTGTAATGTTCTACGAAAATCATCAATATATTTACGATAACAGTCACGAACAGTGTTTGGATCTTGTTGTGTCAGTTTTCGAACAGCTGCATCATACTTTAAAGTAGAATTTTGGAGATGATCTTGAATTATTGTTTGCAATTTTGGTAATGCCAAACGAAATGACTTTGAGGCAAAGAAAAAAATGTTAAACTTAAAACGGTTTTCGCTATACGTGACTCACCTTAAGCCATAACCGCTGAATTTGTGTTTTGGCAATGTCGATTCCAATCAATTTTCTATAATCGTTTTCATTGAACTTTTCAGACTCTTCCG